AATTTAAATTGTACTTATGTTATTGAATAAACATTGGCTTGCGATGAGCTAGTGACGGAGTTACTATGGTAAGAAGTGACTCCTAAAATGTTATATGATTGATGTGATTCTTATGTGACATGATTTATATGTTTACATGCATATACAATATATGAATACATGAACAATATATGATATATGTGCTTACATGAACACATGAGAATTAATATAAGCTATAGGAATATGAAAGAAGCTAGGTGATAAGGACATAGGGAATGAAATGAATACGTAGCAATGATATATGAGTTATATGTTATTGTATGTGTGACATTATTTGAATGAATGATATGAATATGTGATATATGAACATAGAAGATTAAGTGAATGAACATAGACGAGATATAAGAATAAGATATGAATAAAATTATATGAGTTATATATGGGAAATATATGTGAACAAGATATGATATATATATATAGGTTTATATGAAACCATGCAAAGTGATATGAGCTATGTGACATATGAATATAAAATCATATGATAAGTGATATGAATTACACGAAAATAAACTATGTGATAATATGCACATGTGATATGAGATATATGTTTACACATACATATGGTATGTGACAGAAGAGAAAGAAATATGTGATCATATGAAATGTGATAAAGAGCTATGTAAAAGAACAAGTGATATGAAATGTATAAATGATAATACCCATGTTATATGATATGAGAGCTAGTTGTATAGTTGGCATGCCAAGAGTCGAGGGTTTACCTATGTTCCACGGAACATATGGACAGAATTACCTATGTCTTTCGGGACATATGGACAATATACCTATGTTCTAAGGAACATGTGGACAGTTTACCTAGGTTCTTCGGGACCTATGGACAGTTGTCCAGGTTCTTTATGACCTCTGGATAGGTCCTTCGGGACATTTATACAAGCTGTGGTGACAGTATAGTAGTGCACAACCTCAATGTACTCACATATCTTAAGTTTTCAAAAGTATACATGGGTTAATACATGAGATTAAGAGAGTAAATAAATCAGTTAATGTGCTACTATATGTGCTCTTTTATGAAATGATGTATATGCTTATATGATAAAAAGAAATTATTGATAGTAATATAAGTACCGATAAGCATGTTAATGATATATGTATATGTGTGAATTGATTATATGAAAGGATACACGATATACAGAAATGATAAGTACAAGATCACATGATAAATGGGTTAATGATTATGATAGAGATCATGATAATGATGGTATATGTGCATGTATACATTTTGTTATATGAAATGTTTTATGGTTTCTATTATATGTTTATATGCCTCATTAAGTCTATGACTTAGCATGTGATTGTTTCACACGTAGGTTTGGAAAACGAAAAAGAGAAGTAAAGAGGAACAAGACAGGTCAGATCTCCTTACCAAAGATCAAATCATGAATGTAGTTGAATTACATGTATTTGGTTATATGGAATTTAGTTGGCATGTAATATAAAAAGATTTGAATCTGATACTCTCTGAACAAGTTTTGTAATGTTTAAATGTATTTTTGTAAATGGTAAATGTATAGAGATGAACGTTTTAAATTTTAAGAGTTTATATATGTTTTACGGAAGTAGTGTAGCAGGGTATCGGTTCCCTATAGTAGGGGAATCGATTCCCTGTCAGTAATCTGGAAAATTTTGGCATTTGGTAAAATAGCAGGGTACTGTTCACGATACTTTTATTACTGTTCACGGTACTGTTCATACCATATTTTACTGTTCATAAATATGTTTTTGCCTCAAAATTTTATAATGAACACAATTCAACAATATATGATCGTATTTTCTTAATATAAGTTCAAATGTTCTGTTATTTTGCAAGAATAAGGGTTTTGAAATGTCAATGTGACATCTCGGACTAGTATCCGGGTCGGATATGGGTTGGGGTGTTACAGTGCGGCAACCTTAATATACAACTAAAGAAAGGTGTTATTGGTTTTGTTATTATTTTTTTAACAAAACCGGTAAAAAATTACATAAAACATTATTATTTCTACCTAAAACATTAATGTATTTTAACATTTCCGGTAAAGTGCCCAATAATAACAAAACCGGTAGAAAAATTAATGTTTTTAGGTAGTGATTTACCAAATATGCTAACAAAACTGGTAAAGCGTCCAATAATAACAAAACCGGTAGAAATAATAATATTTTTTACTGGTTTTGTTGAAAAAAATAATAACAAAACCGGTAGCGTATTTACTTAACCGTATATTAAAGTTGCCACGCGTCAGACTTTCCTATAAATATGGGAAGGGGACAGTGATGGATTTAGATAAATCCTTATTATGGTATAAAATCTGGATGTCAGTGGTTCACAACCCATGATATCTATCTAAACCCCCAAGATAAGATTTCATAACAATGCATAATGAAGAAATTGATATAACATTTAATCCAAAACGTATAGGAAAATAGTATCAAAAACAAAATCAATTAAGTACCGAAACGGTAACCCTTGGTTATAGAGGTTTGCGTTTTCAAACTTTATATGGCAAGCCAAGCCTCGGCTATACTATGCAAGTGCCGTAAAATAAAAAAGGATCTGCAAAAGCATTTCTTCTTTTTGATTGATGGAAAGCTACCATTTTTTAGTTTTCCACTTTGCTTGTCCAAATTTGACAAGAAACGCTAGGTCTAGCTAAAAGAAATTATGTAGGGACGTAGATATAAATATTTATTTATATTGGTAAATGAATTATATACAAAGATAGAGAGTGAATACCATATTGCAATATTCCAACAAGTGGAAATAATGTTGGACAGTTTTAATTCGGGTTACTTGATCCAATCTTCCAGGGGATGGATTCTTGGAGATATGAATAACAAAACCTTTCTGGGTAACACCAATCTGGGAATCTTTGGTGATCAATTTGGGAACAATAATTCAGCTAAAAGCCTAGCTTCTTCTGATTGTAATTTTATCACAATTTGGTACTTGCAAGCATTCAAATACTTTAATTGACTCCAGAATCTTCACTCATTCACATTCAAAGGGTTGCAAGGGAGCTTGTTCGGGTTTTGATGTCCAAGAAATCTCCAACAATGACCTCATCACTTTATGGATGTAATAAGGATCTAAGCTCATCACTCCTAAGACAGCAAAAGTTGTTGTCAGCGGAACCGAGATGGGATCTGTCAGCAATGTAGCAGTTTTGGTCCTAGTTTCCCTCCTTCAATTTGATCTGCTTATATGAATTCCATGTTATTTCTGGTATTGAAACAAGTTCATATTCCTTCATCAGGTTCCATTTACTGGCTGAATTCCACGATGGTAAGCGCAGTTGTCGTAAACGCCTAGTAGAGCATAGCGAGCGCTTAAGGAAGATTCATTTGGTACCCTTACCGTCAAACCATATAAGTTTCTGCAGTAAAAATTAAGATACAAACACAACCTGGTGATGTCATTCGATCAACAATTTGGTAGCAGTGTCCCGGACTTTACTCTCCATTTCATTGGAACTGATAGTAACTGATCTCTCATTGTCAAAATTGAACAAATTGCCACCTACTTGTCCTCTCAGGTACCAAATTTTTTAGGACTTCCATACCGAAAACAACGCCTTTTGCTGTCTCGAACGACTTTGTTGTTTATCACGAAAGATACGAGAATGGTGATGGGGTTAAACCCGAAGAGAAACCAATTTATAATCCTCAGTCAGCAATATCAATCGTAAATGGGCAGTTGCTACCAAAATCTTTCTTTCACGGGAATATCAATGACAAACAATGACATTTCAATGCACCTTATGCATGATCAACAGTAAAAGAGTTATCGGGTGTTTCACACTCGGATTATGCTCCCTCTCTTCCGTCAGCTCAATCACGGGACTCAAATGATTAAGCCCTTTATCAATGAAGCTTGCCATCCCCCATATTCTTCGCAAAAAGCTAATGGCATTTATTGTTGTGGAATGAACCCCATGGAAGTTGGCCAAACAGGGTCTGCTGATGCTGCTAATAGTGAACTAGTGGCAGATGGATATTTCCGAGGCTCGGGTCCGAATGGAACCGCCATTGATTTGCTTCAACCGTCAACACATCTCCAAGGAGTGGAGCAACAAAGGAGTTGGGTGCCCGTACAAATTTCTGCCAAATATGGGTGCACAGATGGTTGGAGAAGTAGAAATAATATAGTTGATTTCACATAATTTAGTGATCCCCCGTCATTTAGATGCAGTGGAGGGGCAAGTTGAACGGGACAAAGTAAGGAATGAGAGCAGTTGTAAAAAGTTTAGAACGGAATCATGTACCACTAATCTCTTTTTCATTTATAAAGTGGTTCATGTTAATTGGAATATTCCAAGTCTTGGAGTTTTGACTAGATTTACTTTAGGACTAAACAATATTTAATGAGTTTTTATATAGACATGTATCCGTACACTTCTTTGAAAAGATTTTTAATTATTCAATAATAAAACATGATGTCATAGGTGATATGATGTTGATGGAACTTTATTATCTTAATTATCATCATTTGCTCGTCTTAGTGCATGCTTTGACTCTGACACCAAAGGCAATGGAAAGATTAGGTTTGATTAGAAGAGGTCCCCATTAATGAGTTTAGCATTGATTAAATGCTCCCATTTATGTATATTATGTTTCGGGTTAATTTTTTTATAGTTTGGATTGATTGTAATAATATTTATTCATATTTTTTCTTAATTATTGACAACGTATTCATATCAAACCTTAAAAATAATAAAATTTTCTTTAACCATCAAAGTCGCTCAATAAATTTTCAAGATAAAACTTTCATATACATAGAATTTTATTAAACTTATAAGTATCTACAAAGATCATTTGGAATATATTATCATTCGATTTTCTCATTGATGAATAGGAAATAGTGACCATCTGGGCCCATTACGACAAGGACAAGATCGAACTTGGGCCCATTACCCATTCATTGAATAAATTTTATTTAATTTGAATTTAGAACAATATTCTACCTTTAAGAGAAAACGGGGGCATGATAACATGACAATTTAGAATAAGAAATATAACATTGTTTTTTTTCCCCAGGGTAACGGAGCTCTGCAATAGATGTTTTTGCATCTAATCTGGAGAACTCTTGATTGAAACATTACCAAACAAGCACACAACAAAAGCCTGTATATTACACAAGCAACAGCAGCAAGTTTCCGCTGCTTATATTAAAAGATCCGAAAACAGCATCATTCAGAATCTATGGCTTCCCCGAGAATCAACAAACAATACCCCACCTATCAAGATATATGAAGGCACGATCTCATTTACTATCACCAGGTCCCCCACCGAAGAGGTAGTTCAGAGATGACCCACCTCCAGGGGCTGCATGAACCTTGGTTGAAGGTCGATCCTGCATCCAACAAAATACAGTTTCAATGACACCACCGAAGCAAGTATTGATCTTCCGGCAAGTTTTACAAGCATAATATAAGTGCTTTGATGAAGCTTCCAACAAGACGAACGGATCCAATTATCTATTTTCAAAGCCAACTCTTCGAAAATGGTTATTTCTACAAAGTTTTTTGGTCATTTACCAGTAGGGCTGAGGGAAGAGAGATGGACACTTGGAACAAAACATTATAGACTTCAACCAACTTCTAACAGTAATTACCGAAAAGCGTAAAAATAACAAATCCAAACAAAAATTAACTAAGAAATAATTCAAAGCCAACAACCTAATTCCAAGAACTTTGATACGCATCAATTCCTCACTACTAGTTTCTCCCCAATGAAATTCAAGTTCCAAATAAGTATAAATCTTATTTTCAAGGCATTTATGAAAGGTACATAACTGGCTCTTCTTAACTACCCAGACATTTATTCTGCAACCCTATCTTTGTCATGTTTCATATTGTTAAATGAAAGATTGGTGGAAAAACAAATAGAAAATGCCATGAACTTAAATGAAGTATGACAACTTAAAAAAAACAAAAGGGCAAGCTTTTAAGTATCATAATAATTGAAGGACTCATAAAGAGATCATTAAATGAGTTATACCGTAATAAAATTGCCAGTGTTCTGACCATCAGCACGGAGATAATTGTTTGAGGAGGTACTGTTAATACCAGCAGGAATCTGATTGGCTCTATCTGCTGGCTCAGCAGCAGGTGCATGAGCAGCAGGAACAGGTTTTGAAACTGGTGGTGCTTCAGTTGAAGCACCTTGGGAATTGTTTGCGGCTGGTTTTGGAGCTTCTCCATTCCCAAACAGATAGCCCAATGAGCTCTGCCCACCACCACAGCTAACTCCACGGCCCATATTTTCCAACTTACAAGCAAATAAAGTTCAAAGTCTATCACACAGGGAGGGAGGAAACAAATAGCACAAAGTAAGAATATATGATCTGGTTTTAAAAAGTAGAAAAGGGACAGGAGCCGAGGAAGATGGAATGAATCTATAAATCAAGCACATTATACAACTAAAGGAAATTTTAAACAACACAGTTCAGTATAAGCAGAAGAAAGGGAGCAAACCAAGCACATCAAAAGAATTCTCATTACAATAATTGATAAAGAAAATTTTCATTGATGTTATTTCTCGAAACCTTGGGCTTGAATATAACTCCCATAAAAAGATATTTTCTTTTCATGCTGGACAACAAAATGCGCCAATGCTTAGCCATAAAGCATAACATCACACATTATAAGGTCACATGCTCACATGAACATCTGTTCATTATATCAATCGGTTCTTGTTTTTATATCACCTCCTTTACATTTCATTGTTTGATTCGAGTACAGGACATATATCTCATTCATAATTGAATACTCAATAACAGAAAATACATCATACCTACCGTAAAACGGTAAAAATATTTCAAGAAACACCACTACCCCCAACAAAGCAAAAGGTAGCGTTGCCTTTCTTACAAGTCAATAGGAATTATATGTGGCGTATTACATATGTTAAATGAAATGAAAGGAACCTCATATACCCACTGAAACATGTCAAATAAAACACAACAAAGAAGCCCCTGCACAATTTGATATTTGTTCCGTAAATTTCCTAAACTTCACTATCGAAGGCCATTTACATTTCAACTTTTCAACAATAGCAATGAAGAACTATCTACTTCAATCAAAAATAAAAATTAAACTTCAAAGATAAAACAATCAAAAGCACATAGAAATCATAATTTCACAGGATGTCCCGTGTAATAATCATAAAATTTTAAAAAATATGAAACGAAAAACCTAATATTTTTAATACATTAAAAATCCAAATAATATGATTACAGAAATCGATACAGACAGCACGATAAAAAAAATAGGTTCTCTATATCACATCAAAAAAATGAAAAACAAATAAAAATGCGTAGCCAAGGTGAAAAACATCAAACCAGATACGGTAAACAAAAAGATCGTAAAACAAGAAATGAATGAATGAACCAGTGGATGAAACACTAAACCTTTAAAAGAAGAAAATGGGATCTAAGGTTAAAGTTTTGAAATTACCTGTATTGTTTTGAGATCAGATCTGGAGGAGAGAAAGTGGAGGGACGAGCTGTGAAAGAATGAAAGTGAAATAAGAGCGTTTTCTCTTTTAATATATAGAAGAATCGAAAACGACTATCCCTAGATAAATAAATAATTATTATTTTGAATTTTATACACAAATTGCCCCTGCACTATACCTGAATTATCGTTTTGGCCCTTAATACATTTTTTTGTCAAAAAAGGCTTAATACAAAAATAAGTTTGTCCCGAAAATCGTTTTAGTGTCTAAGAATTTTTCGTTAAGAATAGGTGTCTAACGTTTTCTCCATTACCATTTTAGGTATCCGGACGTTAACCACCATTGAAAATATCCGTTAATTGACACGAATCATATTTTTCTAATTTTGAGAATTTTTATTTAAAATAAAAAATATATTTTAAAAACCTTAATTTTTTTCAATTCTTACAAAAAAAAAAACCAAAAGTTTTAAAACTTTAATTTTAATCCCGTTGCCACCACCGGCCGCCACCAACACCGTTAATCATCCAAACACCAAACGACGTGTGATCGGCTAACCACCCATGACCAAAACCTCCATACTTTTACAACCAATCGAACCCTCATACTTAATTTTTTATTAAGTCGTCAAAAAATAACCCTTGGTTCCCTATTTTTACAACCAACTCTTAATTTCCATGCCGGATTCCAAGTAACATTCAACTTACTCATTCTGCCATTTTATTGAAAATGACATCAATAATCTGCAGTTGGTTTATGCACTAGCTATGTTATCTGTAATTAGTATGTGTTGGACAAAGATAAGTGTTTCGACTATGATACGGATATGATCGAAATTCCTCTACTTGCTTTACTTCTTTTATTTTATTTCTCATGTTTGATTTCGTATCATATTGTTATTTTATACAGAGCTATGTAAAAAATATTCCGACTTATAAGACACTTGCGGCTCTAATTTTTTGGTTTTGTTGAGGAATACTCGACTATTAAATTTATTTCTCCCATTTTGTCTGTAGAGTGTCAATTCCAGATGTTCAATTTTGAGCAAAGTCCATAACCTGTCAAGGATTATTCGCAGCTTTCTGTTTAGATGCTGCTCTTTTGTTTACTGCAGTTTAAGATTTACGAGTATTTTTCTGCTACGTTATGCTCCTGGAACCCATGTATGAAATATTGGAATATTATATTTTTATAACATTTTTGTCATATTCGATTTCCGTCATTTTTTAATCTTAAATTAAATTATCGTTTTTAAATTTTTGTGTGTTAAAAGAAATCGTTTTATTAATAGTTAATAATCGTGTCATTTCGCTTCATATATGTTAAAATTACATAATGATATATCGTAACAAGTCACAAGTGATGGTCAAGAGAAGGCAAAAGTGCCCAGATAATACATGTGGGAATGTTTAATTCCCAAAAAAATGCAGTCACTCGATTATTTCTCCAAATGGGGTGAATGCTACAGGGTTACATGCATTACGTGGGATCTCTCGGCGTCTTCAACTTTGCTGCGAAACTGAAACCGCCCCTGCTGCATGTGCGAGCTGCGACACTGATGCTGCCTGAGGTGTTGCTGCTGTTGCATGTGGGAGCTCTACATGTGGGCATGGACGTGGGAAATCACGGGGGTGAGCAGAGAAAGCTGTTGTTGCATGTGTTGCTGTTGCATGTGCCAGGGGTGAGCAGAGAAAAGCTGCATGTGGGGGGCCTGGACGTATGAATCGTGCATGCATGCTACTAGAATTTCTCGGCGTCTTCTTCAGCATGGGGGTGGATTTCTCGGCGTCTTCTTCACATGGGGGGCGAATTTATTTCTGCATGCGCTGGGAATGGTCGAATAGACCCAAATAATGCATTCAGTTATGTTTATAAGAGGGGCTTAGATTTGCATTTCATTGTGCATATGAGTCGGTGTTAAATTTACATAAGCAAATCTATAAAATAGTGTAAGGATCGTCAACAATTGGAGTTGTTGCTTTGCTTGAAGTAGGTTTACAATGATAATTTTCTGAGTTAAGTTTAACGTTGTTAAAAAACACGTAAGTTCTCTCTTGTTTCCCATGTGAACTCCGTTTATTTTTTTCAACATATTAAGTTGTATTTGAGTGTAATATTTTTTTTTTCTAGATTTGTTGAAACATGACAGAAGAAAATGTTCTTTTGAGACTAGACGATCGACACATTTCGAGTCATTTGGGAGAACTGGTATTATGATCGAATATTTTTTTATTTGAGAATGATGAATAATTCTAATTACATAGATTAAAAAATAGCAGGATGACGAACAATGAGTCCTTCGTCCTCGACTTATCAATTGTGAGATGCCAGATCAACGTATTATCGATAATTTAAAAATAGTCGGTTTTTATGATGTCGCTTTTGTAAGAGAATTTAGTTTGGTCCCCGGTTAATTTGATCAGTGCATTAATTGAACGGTGGAGACCAGAAACTCATACTTTTCATCTTCCGTGTGGTGAATGTACGATCACTTTGGAGGATGTGGCTTTACAACTCGGTGTTCCTACAAATGGAATGGCAGTGGTGGGAAATATTGATCTTAACGTGTTTGCAATATGTGAGCAGTACCTTGGGAATGTACCACACAAAGATTTAACAAAAGGGTCACGGCTGAGGTTATCCTGGTTGTCAAATGAGTTTAAGCTCGATCCTCAGTGTAGTGAGCAAGACATTATATATACAACTCGAGCATATATATTGCGGTTGATCGGCGAAATCTTGATGTCTGATAAATCCAATAATCTTGTCCATATAGAATATCTTCCTTTTTTTTGTAACTTCTTTATGAACCGTCAGTATAGTTGGGGATCAACAATATTGGTGTTCTTGTATCGCGAGATGTGCAAGCCGTTATTACTTGTAAATGATGAGTATACGTCTGAAATCGGTGGATGTACGATGTTATTACAATCATGGGCATGGTACATAATTCCATGGTTAACACCGATTAGTCGAACTGCAATTGACTTTCCTCTTACCGGAAGGTAATTTTTTTTATTTAAAATATTTGATCTTAAATTAATTAAAGAATATTTTGTAAAGGAAAAATAATTACAGAAATTTATTTTGATTGGTATACAGATGGAGGCATAAAATAGAAAGAACGGGGTTTTCACACAATAACGTGAAAGAGTTTAGGTTTAAGATTAACATCGAATGCAAAGTTGAGGTATATATAAAATTAATTAGCGAATTTATTTATTATTATGTTTATATTATAATATTGTTGTTTATTTATTTAGTTGAATTTTATAATTATTTAATTAAATAATAACTATATAATTTTGTTTTATAGTTTATTTGGAGGTCGCACGATGATAGAGAAATTATGTCGTGCGTACCGTAATATGTCTGGGAGGGTTGTCAATATTGGTGTGTTGTTACACCATTGATCCATTTCGCATTTGTGGAGTTCCAATTTTCCGATAGAGTGTTGAGGTAGTTCGGCTTCCACCAACTTATTCAAGGAATTCCAGAGAATCATGACTCTCTTCAAAAATTAGATGGGCGGGGTAGGGTCGGTGAGGATTGGTCTTGAGGTATGACAACTATATAAATAATTGGAACAACAAGGGTTCATACTTGCCAACGCTCACTCCCATACAAGCAGATGACTTTGACTTCCAGAGTTCAGATTACCTAAATTATTTTTGGGAACATGGAAAGACAACAATTTATAGAGTGTAAAAAAAATTTGGTAAACCCGAGAAACCAAGAATGACTGGAGTGGGAGTTCTTCTCACCGTGGAGCAGAACAAGAGGCAATGGATAATCCCACCAGAATCTTTTGATCAGACAAGATCATTTAATCAAGTGTTTGGTGATTCTGGTGTTACGCCCTACACTCCTCAGCTTGTTCCTCATCAATCACCCATGTTCTCTCCCATGTTTGGGGAAACAAATGATTTTGATCAGATGGGAGAGCATAGTGCTGGTGGGCATATATTTACAATACCGGAACCTATGCCCTCAATGAATGAGCAGGTTGGTTATGAAGAACAAACTCCTGAACGAGTGTAATGACCACAACGAAACCGACGTACGCCTCGACATTATTGTTCAACAACACCCCGACACCGTCAAGAGTTGTAATAATTATTTAAATTTAAGTAGATGAATCAAATATCATTACTATTAAATTGAGTTTTTTACTATTAAATCATTTTTAGTAATAATTATTATAATTTCATTATTAATAATCATAATTAAATCATTTGTATTAAATCATTAAATATTAATAATAAAATATTATTAATAATCATTACTAAATCATATCATTACTAAATCATTAAATATCAAATCATTAAATTAATAATAATTAATAAATCATTATTAGTAATCATGAGTACTAATCATATTATTCATTAATAATCATTATTGGTATCTTTAGTAATCACTATTAAATTAATAATTAATAAATCATTACTAAATCATTTATATTTTAGTTTTTTAAATATAAAGTTAAATTTAAATACATTGAAAATGGCAAAAGCTAAAAGCTTTCACGTGGAGAGAGAGCGAACAACAGTTTTTGGGTTTTTTTTAATAAATTAATGTCAGATTTTGATAAATGCATGTGATTTTTTTTCAAATGTGCAGCATGGTAATCGACTTTTTTTTTACTGTTCAGGTGTCACTGCATATGCATGCATGCATTTGGAAAGCATTCATATGGGGGAAACAATTATTGGTTTTTAAAATTTTATTCATATATTATTCTTGTTTAAATTAATAGATTAATTGTTAATTCATATATTATTTTCGTATACATTAATAAATTAATAGATTAATTGTTTAAATGAATAGAATATAATCTACAAATTTATAAAACTTAATTAAGAAATTTGTTTTGCATTTAAGAAATAAAAAATGTTATAAAATTAGTAGTAATCATTATTAAATCATTAAATTTCCAATCATTTATTATTCGATCATTATTAAATCATTATTAAATCAAATCATTAAATTATTAAATCATTATTATTAAATCATTAATAATAAATCATTAAATCATTATTAATAAATCATATCATTACACTTTAATTGAGTTTTTTACTATT